AAACATTCATCGGTGGAATTAAATGACTTACCTGATGAGATTCTTATAATTATTTTGAAAAAATTGTACAATGTCCAAGTACTTTATTCTTTAATAGGTGTTAATAAACAACTCAATACAATTTTACATGATCCAATTTTTACAAGTCACTTAACATTGATGAGATGTTTCTCAGATGATTCCATCGATTCATTACCTGATCCAATACTTGATCGATTTTGTTTACAAATCTTACATGAAATTCATTATAAAATTCAATGGCTTAATCTTGAATCATCATCTATGAAACGTATTCTTCTTGCTACAAATTATCCGAATTTATTTGGACTTGGTTTATATGATATTGAGATAGAAACAGCTCTGTCTCTCTTTATTGGTAAGATATTTTCTTCAATTCTTTCGACAATTAATTAACAAAAAATACATACAAAAATCAAAATGATGTCGAATATTTAATTTATACAAATAGATTTAGATTATTACGCATTTTTTTCTTATAAAATATTTCTGTACTGTACTGATACAAACTGACAAACATAAATTCGAGGAAACGTAGTCGTAGAAAAACGATACAAGGAATTATTTATAATTAAAGCAATATTTGAATAAAATTCTCTAGTGCCTTTAATTGAAATCTTAAACATTGATACTGTAAGAAAAGTATAGAATAAAATAAATGACTGAAATAAAACACAATATCGATGATACAATATCATTTCCAAAGAATTTCAAAGAAAAAGATCACACATATACATTACAAAATTGTTAGAAAGAATAAATATATCGATTTAATGATGAAGATAAAATCTAATATGTTTTTTGTTGACTTAGTACTTTTTTTTATTTAGACGAATCTTGTTTAACTTCTATAAATAAAAATCAAATCTCGCCGCTTGTGGTCGATATTACTAAATATGAAAAAATAATTTCAAGTAGCGATGCGAATATACGTATATTTACACATATTTTTACAATGTTCTCTAATTTACAATATTTAAATTTTTGTCCATCTTCACTTTGGAATCAACGATTATTCTTTTACAATCCATATCCAGGTATTAACTCTTCAACTCTCTTAGAATTGCATATCTGTTTGAAACGGTTCTCTGACTGTCTTTATATACTTGATGGGCGTTTCAATAAACTTCACACACTTTATGTTGATATTGATTTCATTTCCTCTTCGGATTTAACAAACAATAATAAGGTAAATTATTTTGGTTAATATTGAATTTTTTCGAACAAATTTATTATATGGTTTTTATAGGAAAAATTACCCGATTTAAGATGTTTTTCGCTATATTGTGGAATGCCAACAGATGCTTATAATAAATTAATTGTACCATTTCTACAAGGAATGTCGAATTTAGAAAAACTCTGTTTGAATGTTATTTGTGAGACAAATACATTTATTGATGGAAATGAATTGAAGCAAAATATTATTAATCATGTGCCACGATTAGAGAGATTCGAATTTTATATTTGCTCAGGCATTTATCTTCGTAATCAAATTTATCTACCATCAAAAGAAGATATTCAACATACATTCAGAGATTTTAAAGATGATCAAGTTATTTCTTATGTTGATTATTTCCAAGAAGAACCATATAGTCTATGTCATATCTATTTGTATCCTGGCCAATTAAAATATTACTAGACTGCAACAAATAATTTTCCAGGTGTCTTATTTACATGTGTTCGTAAAATATCATTATATGATGAACGTTCTTTTGAACATAAATTTTTTCTTCGAATTGCTCAATCATTTCCAATTTTGAAAATACTTTCTTTAAAAAATTCTAAGCCACAAAATAACAAACTATACAGAGAATCAAAGAATGACAATCAAGATTTTTCGATCATTAAATATCCTTATCTTACTAATCTTACACTTTACTTTGCTCATGATGATTATATCGAAGAATTTCTGGTTGATACGAAAGTATGTTTACCGGATAATGCTGTTCATCTTAACATTGATTATGAACAACTAAACAGAGTGACACACAATTTTACAAGAGATATAACACGAATCAATTGTGCAAAACTGGGTTCTTTATGTCTGAATGGTCGTCAACTTCGTAACTATGCAAAAGACTATTTTCCAATGTATAAATATCGATTATTATCAATGCTTATGTAAAATAAATTGATTTGTATTGAATAAAAGTATTAAAATAGAGACAGAATTTATTTCATATTTGATTGAAACGACTCGCAACTAAGTATGTACAAGAAGAATCACACATGATAACACAGGACTGATAAAAAAATGTTATTTTATAGAAAAAAAAAAATTCGGAATAATAGCTCAAAGTCGAGTTATTTGATACCATATAACATGAAATATGTGTTTTAGAATTGAAAATAAATAGAGAGCTGAAAACTCTAAAACAAAAAGCTGTTAATATAATTTATGTTGGATTCAAATCTTGAACAAGAAATATTTGTTCTATTAAGAGAATAAGGTGTTATATAGGACAGCTTTTTAAATTTGTCTGTATATAGTTATACTGTTTCATTTTAAAAATTCGGAAAAAGATACAGTAAACCTCACTTTTGACGTTATTGCTGTGACGATCTGTAAGAAAATCAAGTAAAATCATTTTACTTAAGAATTATTTTTTTCTAAAGTGTAGAGTTTATTATAAGCATAGATTTTATGTAGCATTCTATCTAACTTCTATTTCGAAGAAAGGGAATGTTGTGTAAATTTATGATGAACAACTGAAGTACCCGGCATTGCCCGGGAAAATTCGATATTGTATGCTTGACATGTCAAGCAACCATTCGATAGGTATTTCGATGCGTCGATTTTGGCTTGCGTTGGGCATCGAAATTTCAAATCAACCCCTGGAAGTGCCATTTTCCGATGGGTCGAGGGCTCGGCAATAGGTTGCTTTTACTAGCAATTTTCAACCACTCGAATACTAGTTTCCTCTGGATCGGAATTTCATCGAAAAAAAGAATTTTTATCCGATAGATGTCTCAATTTCGAGTTGTCCAGACCCATCGTATATAAATTCCGAGTCGTCGAAACCTATCGAACATATGCGGAGAAGTAGATTTGAACATGGTACTTACGATTCACTTTCGTCGAACAGTTGAGCTAAATATGAACTATTATTCGTATATCAAAACGACCTTTTTAATTCATAAAAAGATAGTACTTATTGTTCATGCTTTTTTATTTTATTTTTTGAAAACTGAAAATAATACTTTGTGTCCAGAGAGAAAATTTTCTTTTAAACATTAGAAATAATATTTTTCATCCAGAAAAAAGATTATTTTTTGAACACTAAAAATTATATTTTTTTATCGAGAAAAAGTTTTTTATCATGAAAAAAATTTCATCAAGAAAGAAAACTTTTTATATCTCTGTAAGTGGCAGAAGAACTTTTTTTTTATTTAAGATTCCGTATAAATTACTTATGGAATAAATTTGACGTGCAATATGAGATAATCGATCAATTTTCACGTGGAAGTATGAGGTCAATATTTAATAATTTTTTTAAATTCACCACGTGGACCTTCATTATTGCTGTCGTAGTCAAAAAAGCAGGCGAAGTTTAGTTTTAGTTTCAATCGGTGGACGATCAATTTTGATCAGAAAATTCTAAAATTAAGGTGAATTAAGAAGCAAACTCGAATAATTATACTAAAATTATTGAATAAAAATAAAGAATATTTTAAAATCGGATTTTGAAGTTTCACATGATCAAGATTATAGACTCCTCTATCAAAACTGTTATTATGATCGGTCTTACTCTTTTGAAGCACTCAAAATGATCCTTTCAATATGTTTGTTTTAGTCGAGTAATTAAAATGTGTTAGAGGAGTCGGTAGTATTATTTCGATGCGTGACTTCTCTCGGAGTACTCGAAACTTCGATGAGTGCCGAGGTGTCGAAATATATACGACGAGTCGAAAATGAGTCGTCGATAGGACACAGTGTCCAAGTTCTCGAAATTCGATGGGTGTCGAGGGGATCGAAATTGAAACAGAACGAACAAAATATATATATATCAAATTTTCCACAGCTCGTCGCACCCATCGCATGCTTTTTTCTTTAATTTTCTAATAGGCATATTAGAAAATTTAAGATGAACTATGTGCATGGAAATACAGTTTTTATTGGAAAGCGGTTTGATACACAATGTTTTTAGTTTTCGCAGCAGGGACAAAGACATACAAATTCTTCCCTGTTCTAACTCTTGAACACGCTACGTAAAGTTGACCATGCGAAATCAAGGAGTCTCTAGGTTTATGCCAGTAACCTTAAGGGACTGTCCTTGAGCTTTATTGATGGACACTGCAAAAGGCAAGACGCACTGGACACTGCAGACGTTTGAATTCAAAGGGCATATCAGAAGAAATGATGGGTATTCGTGATATGAATACAGCCTCGCCCGTTGCGCAGCCTGTCAAGATGGTTGCTTCAATAACATAAGGCATCAGCCTCTTAACACATAATCGTGTGCCATTGCATAGTCTTGGTGCATCCAGATTTCTCAGGAGCATGATGGGAGGAGTGATGTCACATATCCAGAATATCAGGCATGCTGGAGAAGTGTAGGGAGATGCTGGGAGATGCTAATGGGTGTGGGTGGGATGTGGGTGTGGTTGTGGGTGGGTATGGTGGTGGGTGGTTGTGGGTGGTGTGGATGTGGGTGTGGGTATGGATGGGTGTGGGTGTGGGTTTAAAGATTAGACGGGCACTAACACCCGCACCCAGCTGCACCCATACCCACTCTCCACACCCTATTCCGAGGTCAGCTGTAGTAACCGTAATCAATTAAACTACGTACATTGTTACAACCCAAATACTTTAGAAAGGCGTCCCGTGTGCTTTCGCCTCACCCTCAAGATGCCCCGTGAACGGTTTTTCGCCCCTACCCTCAGCGAAAGAGGTGTCTTGTCGACGTGTTATCGCCCTCATCCTCAGTGAGAGCGATGCTTTGCGGATCTCTCTCTACCTTCACCCTCAGTGAAAGTGATGCCTTGTGTGTATTTACGCCTGTGTATATTTCCATTTCCTACCTCGCTTATATGAGTGTCACCGGAAGGAAATGACTATTATCAAGCTCGCCTAGTTTCCTAGCGACCCATCGTATTTTTCTGAAATCGATCCATTTTGCCGAAAGTCATTTGCTTTCTAGAAATTCATCTGATTTCCCTAATAGCCATATAGAGCATCATATCTGTGAGGCTTGGTGGGTCTATAGCTGTTAGCTGAAGGTCTTCTACATCCACCAAGCCACACCGTATTCAAAAAGGTATAGCTAATAGCTACAGATCCACAAAGTCTCACTCTCTTCAAAAATACGTATAGGTAGTAAGTATAGGCCCACCAAGCCCTGCAGTACTACAAAAAGGGGCTGCTCATCCTTAGCCTCCTTACCTACCGTTTCACATAAAAATGAAGTGCCACTTTTTTGCTTTGAATTCAGAAAGAATTGAAATAGACCATTGTATGATTAGAAACCGCTATCCACTAATTTCCTACTAAAGGTGTAAGCCATATAGCTGAGCCACCGCCACGAACGAAAATTTTTGATGATAGTATGAGGCGCAGCCGCCGTTGACATCGATACACAGGAGATCGCTCATTTTTTCGTCTTTTAGGAGCAAAAACGTTTTTTGGCTGTTAGCCGACGCCGCTATGGAAAAAAATTTGCACATTAAAACCGCCTCCGCTGTTTAATTCTTTGGCTTACCCCTCTATTTCCTACGGAAAAATGATCTGGGTACTTATTCCTATTTGGGTTTTTTATCTACAACTAATATTTACAATAGTTATCTTTAGTGCTAGTTGCATAATCATTTGATATTTTTATAGACTAATATTTAGATGTATACACTGTGCCACCGCTACCGCCGCCACCGCAATAAAAAAAAATATTGTTTTTATACCCAGCGCCGCCACATATGGAGGAAACAACTGAGGTGTCTCTTTATTAAAAATAAAAATGACAAAAAATTAGAGTTTAACTGTTCAAAATGAATTGATTAAAACTCTGATACATCAATAGTAACATCTAACAGCAGCATTATTGTTTTTGATGTATGCAGGAAGATTTACCGAAGTGAGACTGTTCATGAAATAAGTGGTTCCTTTACAACCGGAATTGTAATATATGGTACATCCAGCTTTATTGTCAACCCATCCGCTAGCCATGTTGTTTTTCATATCGGGCTTGAAGTTACAGCAATCTCCTTTGGGACATGAACGTTTAAAACAATTAACACCATTTGAATTTACACAAGCAGCAAAAGTTCCACCAGACACCATGGAAACAGTAAGACTGAGAAAGACGGCCAAAAGAACAAGATAAGCCATTTAATTAATTATTCACAAAATCTGTAATAAAAATAAATCGAATATTACTTAGTGCGTACCAAAAGTAGTGACGGGGGTTCGGTAATCTATCATAAAAATCTTTAAGAAACTCTTTTTCTATATAGTCTGATAGAGAAAAGAATGCTCTATTTTCCTATGCTATTTGATCATACTTCAACTAGTATGATGATAATAAATTTCCCATAATAAATTTTTCATTATCATTTGTGCTCGTAGTAAGTTTTGCATTTGCAGTTTTCAATTCCTTATCAGTTGTATTAACAACCGAAATATACCATAAGATGCAGCGTGAAAAGCTCTACAATCTGCATAGTAAAGCTCATTGTAATTGTTTTCAAAAAAAGAAAATGTATTAAGGGTTTAAAAACTAACCTGTCTCAAACATTTTGATCTAGTACAACGAGCACAAATGATAACGAAAAATGTCTTATGAAAAATTTATTATCATCATATTAGTTGAAGTATGATCAAATAGCATAGAAAAATAGAGCATTCCTTTCTTTATCAGTCTATATTGAGAGAAATTTTTGTAAACCTTTTTTTATTAGGAATTACCGAACCTTCGCCATTGCTTTTGGTATGTCCTAAGTAGAATTATATATCTAATAACATATAAGAAATTGAAAAATAGAGTTAAATCATTTTTCATCAATTAATCCATAACATATTCTAATGATTCGCTGTACATTTAGACTAATTTAAAACAAAAGGATGACAAGGTTTTCAATGATCTATAGTTGTACTAAATATTAATATATTTCCTTAGAATAAATACTATTTTGAATTTTTTCTTTCAATCGTCTTTAATTAAACTTAATTGCAAGCACAAGTAATCGAATGCTTCGTATAGATGGTTTACGACTATCGAGATCATTCTTAATGCATGGTTCATTTGCTTGGATTTAAACTTGGCGGGGGTTAGAATGTAATATTCTTGTTATTCGCTGAGCTGTCTCTCTCTAGGTTTGATTATTGAGTATGTATCTCAAAATCCTTGTCAACAGAGCTGATCTTTTAAGCTATAAATGTTAAACATTGTCTATCATGTAAAAAGAACTGTTAGTTGTTTGTGATTCATGTTTAGGTGTTCGAAGAAAAAAAAATCAAATAGGTGCAAGACAAGTTTTAGTGTGAGATTTTTGATCTTCAATCAAACAATTCACAATTTTGAGTTTGTGTACAGCTTTTGCGTAACTCATAGTAATATTTTGAAAGAATACTATTTGATAGTAAACCTATATTTGATAGTAGGTTGAAAAATTTATAAGTAATCCTAGTTATATCACAAACTAAGATAGTGATCGTCTCAATACAACAATGATACTTATATTAAAGCTATATCAATGATGAATAACTTCTTATTGTATAGAAGAAATATCTCACTTGTAAAAGTTGAATTTTATTGAATGAAATTGCTTCGATCATTTCTAATGTATTTATATCGTTTGCTCTTAAAAGCTGAATTATACACATGATAATAAATTACTTATTTTAGAATATAAATCGTCGTAATTATATACTTGAATGAATAAGGGAGTATACAAAGTTATTTTTAGAGCATATACTATGTGGGTTATCAAGTTATACTACATAAACTTCTTATAAATATTTATATTTGATAAGATTATGTTACTATTTTTTCATTCATATATCCCCCTGCAATAAAAAAAGGTGCACACGGTATTTTTGACAAATCATTACTATAAATTAACATTTTGAGAAAAGAGTCTGGGTGGGGTGTGAGTGTGGGTGTGGGCTGAGAGAAGAGCCAACCTACTCACACCCACACCCATGAACAATTATCTGCTAACCAACTAAGTGTTATGGATAATTAACAACCTATCAAACCTGACCTTGATACTGTTGAGTGTTTGGTGTTGGATAAAGGACTTTGCACAGGGATATCGCCTGAATTCTGAACGACAGCTGGTCTAGGAACATAATGTGCGGGATGCATTAATAATACTCAAAACATTTGTCATCAAATAGTCACAAGTCAAGACTAGTAGATGTAGGGGATGATAGAGAATTTCATTCTCCTTTTTCACATATAGGAGTTAGACGTCTTTTCTCTATTTTCTCTTCTCCGTACTTTTCACGTACATATACGTACACCTGTCACGTGTTCGTGCACGTGCACTTTGGTAATCTTTGAAAGCATATTTTTTGCAATTAGCTAAGGTGCTAAAGATAAATAAAAATGAATACGAATATAATTAAAAATCACCAATTAAATCAGAATCGTAGAAATCCAACAAACAATGGAACTGCACAACGTCAAATGCATTTTTATAACAACAATCGGATGTCTCAAAATAATACACAAGGCTCACCATCAACATTTAAAAGGCATCTAACTAATCACAGTACACTTGGTGATGACGCTAGATACGTCAACAATAAAAGACAACGACAAAATAGCCAAGAAAATGCTGAAGAAGTTCATGATAATGACGAACGTATCGAGGAATGGACTAAACCGAATGTGCATCATGGTATTTTTTTTAATGTTAATCAAGCTGACAATGATCGTAATGAAACTCTCATTTCCAAACAAGCGTTTACTTATGCAACCGACTGTCACCTTCCACCGATTAAAATAGTATGCACACCTAAAATTCAAAATCAAAATGGAGGGTGTGGGTGTGAGTGTGGGTGTGGGTTTGGGTGTGGGCGTGGCTGGGTGTGTGGGTGTGGGTGTTGGTGTGGGTGTGGGTGTGGGTGTGGATGTGGACGTGGAAGTGTGTGTAAACAAGGCTCACAAGCACACCCATACTGACACACCCACACCCACACCCAAACCCACACTCACACCCATACCCACAGCCACACCCATACCCCACACCCACCCACACCCACAGGCACACCCATACCACACACCCCACAGTCACACCCACATCCACACCCACACCCACACTCACACCCACACCCATACCACACACCTACCCACACCCACACCCACAGACACACCCATACCATACACCCACCCACAATCACACCCACATCCA